AAAATCCAAAAAACTCCCGACTAGTCAAAGTTCAACGATTGTTAGTCAATTTTGAGCGGAAAATTTCAAATTTCAACTTTTTTCATGTGTTCAGTATAATATGGGTCGAAAAGGGGGACTTTCAGAAATCGGCAAATAGCTGAAAAACTAGGAATTTTCAAAACTTTTTGTAAATCCAAAAATTTAAATCTAGGTCTCTTTTACACCCTCCAAAATTTTCAAAGTGATCGTAAACTTGACAGTCGAGATCCGGACTTTTGAAAATGGCTAACAACAAACTGTACAAAAAATAGAACATTCTAGAAAGACACCAAAACAAAAACAAATGATATACATACTTGAAAAATCCAGATATGATCTGAAAGAGAAGCTCGGATAAAATTATTGTTGTCTTTTTTCTCTGCGTCGCTCCTATATCCAAACGCTCTTATTTTTTGTTTATTTGTGCTCTCTCTGATAGTGGAAAACAGGGGTGAAATTTGGGAGCGAAAACAAAAGAAATGGGGTTCCAGTTCGTCTCTGAAAATGAGCACATGACTGACAGAGTGCTCGGGGGAAGAGAGAGAGAGAGAGAGAGAGAGAGAGAGAGAGAGAGAGAGAGAGAGAGAGAGAAGCTTGAAAGGACGGTATAAGGACAACAAGGGGATGGAAGAAGGGAGAGGAATTGGAAATGAGACTGAAAATGAAAAGAGAGCTTCAAGTGCATAGGAGAGATGAAGAACGGAAATTAAATGATGCATTCGGAAAAAGGATGGTGACACAAATCACCATCTCTCTTCATCTATTTATCCTTTTCTGGAAAATGTGTATTAGGCAAATAGATAGAGAGATTGATTATTATTCAATGAATTGAGATTAGATTGATCTGAATTAGGGGGAAAAGATGGGGAAATTTGAAAAGTTGTGCAGCTAGCTGGTGCGCCTTCGGCGCGATTTAATCTAGTTTTACTGGTAACCTTCTTACTTTCTAAACGTTCAACTTTCAGTTTATATATCTCGCTTGCTATGAAAGATATAACAAATTTTTCAAGATAAAATGTTTCTCGTAATCTCACCAATGTTTTAGCAGTTGACTATTTTTGGATACCTGTCACAGGAATCGAGATATATGAGCTCAAAGTTGACGGTTCGAGTGGCACAAGACATCCTAATAACTTTGAACTCTTCCCCGAATTTCCCATTTTCTCAAAAATCAAAACAAAAATTCCACTCTTTCATAAAAATATCAAAAAAGATTTGCCCCGAGACCTAACATCAATCTCTATCTTCTCTCATAAATCCAAAAAATCCAAGAAATATCTAATGAAGTCCTTTTTCTTGAGACTATGATGAGCCGGGGCAGATAACTGACGTTGAGCACCACCACGCACACACATGAGCAATTCATCAAATATTCAAAAACGCTTAGTGTGTCCGTCTTCTTCTTTTTTCTTGTGCCAATCCGTGTGATACTTATATATTTTCCCTAGTTTTTAAAAGTGACAAGTGCACTTCTGAAGTGTCACTTTTTTTCAAAATCAAATTTTCAGAGATTCAAGAACGGTTTGTTCTCTGGAAGAACAAGGTGCAAAATCGTGCTCTTCTACAGGGAAGTGAGTGAGTGAGTGAGAGAGAGAGAGAGAGAGAGAGAGAGAGAGAGAGAAGCCACGAATTTCCAGAAGACAATAAACCGGATATAATCGGAGTAGGGGATTAATGGAATATGAGATTATAGTGCACTTCAAAAGAGAGCAAATTAATTTGAACTCAACCTGAAAAATTTTTGACAAGTCCAATTGTAATCGAAATGACAAATTTCACAAATTTCCCATGTCGAAGAAATATGTCCATTAAGGATTCATGTCTCCCCCTCCTCAAATCCATCTGTTCCAATTGCCAAATAAGTGACAGGTGGCGGATGGTGGTCCAAAATGAAACAAATGCCAATATGGTTTGTTTAGGAGAGAAAGAGAGCGAGAGAGAGAGAGAGAGAGAGAGGATGTTTCCTGTAATAGAAACCCACCTAAATCATTAACTTTGAGCTTAATTATCTCGACTACTATAAAAGATATAAAAAACTTGTCAACAGATAAATTATAGGTAGGTAATTTTATGACAAACATTTTATCAGTTGGGAAAAATTTGATATCTTTTACAGAAGTCGAGATAATTGAGCTCAAAGTTGACAGATTTGTTGGGCGCATATTTGAGAACCATCAGCTTTGAGCGTAATTATCTCGACTATAAAAGATATAAAAAATCTCTCAACTGATAGCATATAGGTGATTTAAAAAAAATAGTTTGTTAGTTTAGCACTTTTTGGTACCTTTTACAAAAATCGAGATAATTGAGCTCAACGTTCACAGTTTGTATTGGGCTTCTATTATAGGAAAAACGGGATCTCGAGAATAACCACAGATATGCTAAAATTCCCAAATTAAACATTTTAGAAAATTTTAACTGCTAAATTGTTCTAATTGACTGTTTTCTGATAGATATCAAGGTTTTGAGATAACGCGCGATTTTTGAAAGTCATCCAAAATTTCCAGTTCTGGGGTCGGAAATTTTCAATGTAAAAACTTTATGTAAAAACTTTATGGGCGTGGCCTAAAAAAGTTTTGTTTTCCGGAAGTGAAATATATAGACAAAAAAAATCAAATTTTCCATTTTCGGGTCACATGATTTGTAAGGACCACCTTTCAGAAAAGAAGTGGGTCAAAAGCTCAAAAAAATTTAACCAAATTATGACTTCTTTTTTTTGGCGAAATGGGATTTTCAAGTAATTTTAAGCCAAGGTAATACGTATCTAAAAAAGAGGCAAAGATGAAAAATGAATGAATAAATGCCAATCAAATTCAAAAAAGGAAGGAGCTGAGGCAAAGATGACTCATGTATTATATATTTCGTTTCCAGTTATATACCAAGTTTTGCTTCTTTTTTCCTTTTCCAGTTTTTTTTGTTATTCCAGTCACGTATATTTCATTTGGAAAAGATGGAAAAGAGAAAAAGTGAGAAATATGTTTTTTTGGAAAAAAAAGAAGAAGATCGAGGGGGTTAATAATCATTGGGAACAGAGAAATGATGAAGGATTATATGAGCTTTTCAAAGATCTAGAGATCTGGAATATTTTGGAAAAGGGAGAATCTTTGAATTTCTGAAAATCTCGAAAATCCAAAAATTCCAAATTTCGAATCTTAAAATTTTTAGAATTACGGAAAAGAATCTTAGAATTTTAGAAATTCAGAGTTCCAGAATGTTCGATTTCAGAATTTCACAATTTCGAGTATTCTGAATTTCTGAATTTCTGAATTTCTGAATTTCTGAATTTCTGAATTTCTGAATTTCTGAAAATCCAAAAATTAAAAAACATGCGCACTTTCAGAATCTCGAAACATCCAGAATATCGTAATCCTTAATTACCTAGAACTTCTTCAGGATCTCTGAAATTACCAGAAAATTTTGAAATTTTGAAAATCCAAGAATTCAGAAATTCAGGCTTTTAATAATTGCCAAATGTTTTCTGGAATTTCAGGCTTTTCAAAGTTTTATTGACTTTTCAAAATTTTATTGAATTTGAAAAATTGAAAGATGACGTTTTCAGATTTTAAAAACTATCAAGATTTTCAGATTATCCTTAAACTGTCGGCTAGCAATCAAAAAAATATCCGGAATTCAGATACCTAGACAAAAATAGATTTTACAAGGAATTAAAAATACATCTCCGTTTCTAGAAATGCTGAAAATCTTTGCTCCTCTCAAAAAGCAAAAAAAAGAAACAGGGGGAAAACGGAGAAGGCCCTCTTCACACGACGAGTGACAAGTCGTAGAAGAAGAAGAAACACGATGTCGTCTTCTGAAGAACGAAGAAGAAGAAGAAGAAATGCGAGAATCTATTAGGATCCTGAAGGCGTCCTCTTCTAGAGGCGAAAAGGAGTGTTGGAAGTGGGGGGAAGAGCATGGAAAAGAAGAAGAAGCATTTGTAGAAGAAGAAGAGGGGGAGGATGGGGAAGAAGAAGAAGAGGAGAGAAAAGAGCAAATGCTAATTACGAGTACGCTCTCAAGAGAGAGAGGGACCATATCTCTCTCTTCATAAACGGATAGAAAGAGAAAGATTTCTAATTGAGATATTCGGAGATGAACGAGGAAGAAAGTCAGAAAATTGGAAGTTCGTTGGGTCAGAACTGATCCAAAAGTCAATTTTTTTAGATAGATTCTAGACCGATTAATACTTGTTTTGTGCAAAATAAAGTTTACAAAACATAATTTTTTAAAAAATTGTTCCAAGTTCCGTATTGTCTCTTATAAAAGCCTATTCAATCCGGTTAACTTTGAGCTCAATTATCTCAATTTTTGTTAATAATATCAAAAAATTGTCATGTCAGTGACTTTATGATAATCAATCTATCTGTTAACAACTTTTTGATATCTTTCACAGGAACCGAGATAAATCAACTCAAAGTTGATGGTTTGGGTGGCCTGGTTCAGGTTTTACGGTACTCTGACTTTTTTTTTGGAAAATTCGATGTCCTGAAAAAAAGGTTCAGATATTTTCAATTTCTCGGAAAATTTCAGATTAAACTTTCAAAAAATAGAGTTTCATTTTTGAAGTTGACAATTTTTTTTGTAAAAATCCAAAGAAGAAAGATATGGTTTAAGAAGGCTCAACTCTTGTTTCAATGCTACTTTTAGATTTTTCGCCACTTTTTTGGATAAAAAAGGCATATCTCATTAGAATGGAATTTGGCAAAAAAAGTTATCAATCAAAAAATTGATTTCTTTTGATTTTTAGTAAAATCTGAACTTTCCAGAGCACTGGAAAAATTTCGAACCAATTTTTTAAAACTTCAAAGTTGGCTATTGTCTATTCAAAATAATCGCACGAATGAACGAGTAAAAAACCTGCGTCTCTACAGCGCTTTTACAGGTTTGAGGACGCTCTACACGTTTTTTTTACTCGTTCATTCGTGCGATTATTTTGAACAGAAAATACGTAAGTGCTCTAATAGAACGTCCCTCCACACCATCAATCTTGAGTCCGTATATCTGATCTCTTGTAACAGGTATCAAAAAGTGCCAAACTAACAAACCATTTATCTCAAAATCACCTATATTTTATTAGTTGATAGATTTTTGATATCTCTAATATAAATTGAGATAATTGAGCTCAAAAAAGGTCTTAAAACTATTTCCCGGTCTCATAAAAATCTGAAAATCAGTTTCCCAAATATAGGTCATCCGTACTTTTTCGATAGGATGCGTTTCCGCCAGACGACTAAACAAATTCTCCAATTTTTCTTGTCTTTTTGCACTTTTTTCGGTTTCCGTGGCTCACGATACAAAAGCTGCTGAAAGTGCAACGGAAGTACTACTTGGGTTTTTTGTCAAACCACGAATATTTTTGAAAATGCTACAAATGGGGGACGGACGAAAAAACAACACAGAATTTAAAATAAGGGGGAACGGATGTGGTGGTGGACCGGGAGTTTGAGTAGAATGGGTCTATAAAGTTGGTTTGAAATTCAAGGGAATTTCAGAAAGTTTCAGAAAAACCAAAAAGCTTAATTTTTTGGAAATTGAAATTTGTAGAACAAAGGTTAACCAGAAACCTAGAGATTTTATTTTGCTTCATTTTCTGAAGATTTGAGTCAAATTTTCCTTGAAAAGTTTTTTCGGAACATGACCTAATTTTTTTGGATTTTCCAGGTCATAAGTCATGACCTAGTGTTTTTTAGGTAAGGACATAATGTTCCGGACTTTTAGCACTTTACTTTTTTTTTGGGTTTTCTAAGTCCGGAAATCTTTTCGGGATGTCTAGGTCATGACCTAATTTTTTGAATTTTTTAGGTCAAGATATAGTTTTTCTAGGTCATGGCCTAGTTTTTAAATTTTCTAGGTCACGATCTAACTTTTTGGAGTTCACTAATATCTCTAATTTTGCTGAAAATTTTCTGGAGTTTTAAGAAAAATTCGGCCCCAAATTTTCCAAAAAAAGTTCTCGGAACGGCTAAGAAAAATTCCGTCGCACATCTCGGATTCATAACCTCCGACATTTCTTCCTCTTTCTCCATTTTTTTTTCTGCAGAATCGTTTTTTCTAGGAAAAGAATAATGAAAAAGCACGAAGAGATGCTGCTGTCAAAATAACACATATATGGGGAAAAGATAGGAGAAAAAAGAGCAAAAGTGTCTTAAAAAATTGACTCCCTAGTTGATTTTTTGGGTTCCCGATAGAATGGGAAAAGATGATAGGGCGAAGTTTTTTTTGGGAAAATGCACGGAATTAGGTCATGAAGTTCAGAAATTCAGATATTCAGAAATTCAAAAATTTAAGAATTCCTGAAGCTTCTAATTTCTCTAATTATCGCAAACCAAGAATACTCAGAATCTAGAAGACGTCAAATGGAAAATATAACTTTGTTCGCTCCATATCAACGAGAGAAGAGAAAGAGAGAGAGAGAAAGAGAGAGAGAGAGAGAGAGAGAGAGAGAGAGAGAGAGAGAGAGAGAATCAGGAAAACTGATTTATGTACTAAATTAAATTTTGCGCGAAAAGAGCAACAAGCAATTCAGAAGAAGCAGAGCAAGAGAAGAGAGACGCCAGAGAAAACGGATGTTTTTGTAATCGAACACTCTTTTGATGGACCACCACCACCACCAGACACCCTCTTCTTACTATCCACACCACATCATCATCATCATCTTTTTCTTTTCTAGTATTCTTTTTTCCGAAAAAGAAGGGGTCCGTCCGAGGGGATGGTGGAGAGGAAAAAGAATATTCCACGAGTTTAGTTCCGCCTATTTGCTTTTCATTTTTTGTGAAAAGAGCTCCCTGTGGGGTGGGGTCTCGAATGAAAAAAAAGGGATTTTCAGTGTGAGTCAGACAAAGGGTCAGAGACAATTATAGTGCGGGGGTTAGTTCCGAAATTTTTGGAATGTTGGAGAGTTTGACTCTTCTTCTTACAGTACGCCGAAAAAAGTGATTACTGTGCTTCCTCTGATACAGAAGCCCACCCAAACGGTCAACCAATTATCTCGCTTCCTGTGAAAGATATTAAAAAGTGATCAATTGGTAAAATGTCGCTGATTATAACAAACAATTTTTCAGTTGACCACTTCTTGATGTCTTTCACAGGAAATGAGATATGTGAGCTCAAAGTTGACAGTTTGGGAGGCGTTCTGTTGGAGTGTTTTTCCTTTTCAAAATGGACAAACGAAATATAGACTGACATTAAAAAATATTCTAAATTTTTTGGAAATTTAGAGTACTTTCCATTTGGGCGTTTTTCGGAATCTTGAAATCCGAGAATTTCCAAACTTCCGAATCTCATTACATTTTCCAGAATTTCAGGTTGTCAAAACTATAAAATTCTGAATTTTGGAGACAAAAGTCTCTCAATATCAGATTCTCAAAATCTCTGAAATTCGGAATTTCAAAATCTTCAATTTTCAACATAAATCCACAAAACTTCAAAATTATTTTTTTTTGGTTAATTTTGGAAATCTGAAAATTTCAGACATCAGGATTTCAAAAATTTTGAATATCTAAATTGTAGTCTCCGAGTACTGAATTTCCTGAAACATCCAAATTTGAAAAACGCAGAATTCGCAAATCAAAGTGTACCAAAAAATTCCAGGATCTCAAAATGTTAGACCAACAGTATTTCAGATTTCCAGAACCATCTAGTCACTGAAATCTAAAAATTCTGACTCTGAGGAAGCAGCATTCCAATCTTAACAAAAATCCAAATTTCGTAAACTACCGTAATCCTGTTTTACTCAAAAGGTTTCTAGTTTAAAATGAGTATTTCTGCCGGATCAGGTGTCCCTTTAATTTTTTCTATTTCATAATCAGATTTTCCAATTCTGATGGATTTCAAAACCGATTTCCTCACTCTGTAAGCTTCCTCACAGAACGACAAATAGAGAATTATGAAATAAATAATTCCTATAAATTCTGAAAAAAAAATCTAGGTGACATACCAAAATATGAAAAAGTATTGGGATTTGGGTGTGAAGCAAAAAGGAGGCCTCCCCGAAAATGGACGAAGAGAGAAGAAACGAAGAAAAATGAAAAGAGAGAAAAATGAAGACTTGAAGGAGCGGAAGGAGAATTTCTAGGAGAGAGAGGAACTCCAGAAGAATGGGTGGTGGTGGTTTTTTTTTTGGAAAAGAAATAGCAAAAAAAGAGTTGAGAAACAAAAAGATTGTTGCAAGACATCCACCCGGTGCTACTCGGAAAAATTTTGTGTTCCGGTGTTTTCGGGTTTTTAAGGTTGTGTTAGGAATTTCTTTCTTTTTTTGTACATTTTGCAGCAAAACTTTTGGGGAAAAAGAAAGTTTTTGAAACCTCTATTTTTAACAGAAACTTTCCTGAAATTTCATAAAAATTCTGCAATTTTGAGCCGAGATATGGTCGTTTGGAGTTTTAAAGGGACGACGAGACACTCTAACAATCTGCGTCTCTTCTAAACGTGATTTTTAAACAAATTTGTAGAGAATTTCAAAGATTTTTAGAACAACTTAATATTCTAAATTTTTAATATTTTTCAAATTTTTTTCAAAGTAAAGATTAGATGATCAGAAACTTTGAATTTCGTTAATAAAATTTTTTAAAAAACTCAAAAATCGGAATATGAATTTCAGAAAGATCCAAAAATCTTTAGAATTTCCACAACCGTTTTTGACAGAACTTCCAAAATCTTGAATTTCTGAATTTCTGAATTACTGAATTTCTGAATTACTGAATTTCTGAATTACTGAATTTCTGAATTTCTGAATTTCTGAATTTCTGAATTACTGAATTTCTGAATTTCTGAATTTCTGAATTTCTGAATTTCTGAATTTCTGAATTTCTGAATTTCTGAATTTCTGAATTTCTGAATTTCTGAATTTCTGAATTTCTGAATTTCTGAATTTCTGAATTTCTGAATTTCTGAATTTCTGAATTTCTGAATTTCTGAATTTCTGAATTTCTGAATTTCTGAATTTCTGAATTTCTGAATTTCTGAATTTCTGAATTTCTGAATTTCTGAATTTCAGAGTTTCGGATATCTCTACTTCCAGAATCTGAAAATTGTGTGTTTCCCCAAAAAAAGGAACATGTCCTTTCTGTTTTGCAAGCTCAAAAAAGGGAAAAAAATCAAGTTAGGTCTGAAAATAGGCTGAAAAAGAAAACAGCGAAACAATTTGATTCTAGTTGTTTTTTCAGCAGTTTTCTCTATCTATAATTCCAGATAATTTGATTCAAGGACACACAAAGAATATAAAAACATAACACAAAAAAAAAGAAAAACTAACCTCATAGAAAATGGACCGTTTTCTAGATGTTGTGGTTGTTGCTGATGGTGTTGATGACGTGGAATTCGATGTTGTAGATGTGGCAGAAGTTGGGGACGGTGGAGGTTGAGAGTGTAATCGTTTCACCTTTTTCTGAAATGTTTAAAATTTCTGGATCTTTTTTGATTTCCTTTTTTTTTGAATAGTTCGAAAATCATGCAATTTTTAACTATATGAAAAATGGTCACCATACCGTATTTCCTCTAATTGAAGCCCATGGGCTTCTATTTTTCAACCCCTTCTCAGGAAATTTCCAAAAACTGAAATCACCGGAATATTTTTTTAAAAAGAAAGACAATGGTTGCAATAACCTAAGAGGAACTGCACTATACAAACTGCACTAACTGAACTGCATGAACTTCTGTTCGAGGTTCCGCTTTTTGATTTTAAGCACATCGGAAGGTGGGCTTCTATTAGAGCAAATACGGTATTTCCGAAAACATTCTGAACATTATGGTACAAAATCCAAGTCGCTCTCTAGCTCAATTTTGAAGCGAGCAATTTTGAACCGAAGACGCGGTTAGCCGGAGGTGGTTAAGAGACTGGTAGGGAGCGATGCCTGTAGCTCCTGCTGCTAACCACATGCGGCTGATCGCGTCCTCGGAACACATATAGCTATAACTCGCTTCAAAATTAGCTTGGTTTTTACACAAAAAAAAAGGATAAAAAGTGTTTGAAGAATAATAACTCAAAATGTGAAAACTTCAAAGATTCTCAAAGCCTAAATTTTCTGCTTTGCTGTTTTCGGTTCCTATGAGAGATATATAAAATCTGGCAACTGATAAAAAGAACGAGATACTTTTTGCAAAAAAAAATGGTTGTGTGTTTTAGCCAATTCTAGCCAAAAAGGAACTCTGTGCTCATTGAGCCAAGTAGCCAGTATCTTCCATACATAGCGAATGGCGTGTCTCACTTTGTATTCTGAAGATGTCGTCGACGAAGAAAATGACGAAGACGGAGACGAAGCAGTTGTCACAATGTGTGTTGAACAATTTTGAACTTCTGCAAAAAAAAAGGATTTTGAAAAGAAAGGGGTGGCGGGAGTTCAAAAATTAGGGCTATTTTGAAAAGTGTAGGAGGGTTTTCGTGGTTTAAAAAACCTACAAAAATCTTGTCTTTCAGAAAAAAGTAATACTTTTTGGAATGTTTTTTTTTGTGCATACATCTATATCTATATCTATATGAAACGAACATATACAAACACACAAAAAACGGATCCATCCTCCAAAAAAATTCATGAGTCTCTCGAGATTTTTCATGTGTCCTGTACAACACAAAAGGGACTAAAAGACGGCAAAAAAGAAGAAGAAGACGATGTTTGTGTTTTTGGAAGATATTTGAGACAGAAACAGCATTTTTTGAGTGATGGCTTTTCGATTCGCACCAACTTTTTTCATTTTTTTGTCTTGTTAGGGTAAACGGGTTTTAGTGGAATATGGTTGGAATAATTGAGAATAATACAGTAGCTACGATTCCTTACTCTGGTTCAATTTCTAACTTTGGAATAAATCAGAATTAGAATAGAACAGTAACCTCCGGTCTAATTTCAATGTGGTTGAAAATTTGAGGGTGGGCGGAGCTTAGGTCATCAAAGGCACATATATTTTTCGAAATTATTTCTGGCCTATTTTTTTCAAACAATGAAAGTCATAGACAAATCGAAAAAAGACCTGAAAAAATGTACGAGAAAGACGCTCTTTTAAGGATTTTCCAAAGCTCCGCCCACCCTTGAATTTTTGGCCGCAACGTACATTGGAATTAGACCAGAGTGATAACTACAAAACTTTGAGAAAAAAAACTACAGTAATATGGTTTCTGGTATCCGGAATTACTAACTAGCCATATTATATCAGCTGAAACTATTTCGTATACTGAACTGTGATAGAAGGACCCTTATTTGAGCCAATTTATCTTGATTACTGTAATTAACTGTATATATTTCACAAAATCTAGGATAATCGGAGTCAAAGAGCTATGCGATCATAAACAAAAAACGGAAAAATTCTGTAAATCCCATCGAGAGTCTTTTTGGAATTTACCGCATCTCCATTAACAGAACGCCTCACTTTGAGCTCAATTACCGTAAAACCTCTAATAGAACGACACCCGGATCGTCCACTTTGAGCCTATATATCTCATTTTCTGTGAAAGATATCAAAAAGTGGTTAACTAGTAAAATGTTTATCAGGATATC